GATGTTTACTAAACTTGTTGTGGGAATCATCTCATGATGCATGCAAGTCAAATCGTTATGCCGTATATCTTAAACTCACACAGTGTTTTATGCTAATTATATCTCAATAACACTGGAAGGGAAAAAATGGATAATAAAATTAAAAAAAAAACCCTGTGGAACATACCAGTGATGATTATGCTTTTCCTTCACTAAACAGATATTTTCTCTGAGAAATAATATTATCATTGGTGGTGAAGTATTCAACTAAGAATTTGGCATTCGATACGACTACCAGTGTCATACAAACAAAACTCCTGAAGATTTAGTAAAAGAAGCATAAACATATTGATCATAAAAGAAAATCAATGTATTAAAAGTTGTACTGAGATACAGCATTTGAAAGTACAAGCAGTACTTGACTGATTTAAAACTACTATACTAAGTTTAATGATATTACTCACATCATTAAAATCTTGCTGTGCTTGCCTTATGAGAATTTAGGTGAGTTCTGGAAGAAATTATAGGAGTAGCTCAGCTAGGGGCGTGAAAAATCAGGGACTGGAGTGTGGGATGTTCAAACTGATGGAGTCCTACTCCCTAAAAGCTCCTGCAGTGAGAAGAGGCACCCAAGTCGCTCCGCTGACCTTTAAGTGACATATTTGAGAGCTACAGTATTTAAAAGTTCTCAGGATTCTATGTATGAGAGTTTGGAAAAAGGCATCTTGTAGACTTAGTCATGCTACAGACTAATTTTATGGCAGATATTTGATAAAAATTAGTCAGCCAATAAGACTTATTTGTGAGCCTCTGCTCTCACCAACAATTCTCTCTGACACCTACGGCTACGTTGGTTCATTTTTCATTTCCAACACTAGAAAATGTTGCATGGATCAAAACTTTTGGCTAAGGTTGCTGGAAAAAGAGCAAAGGATGAAGGCAACAGAGAAAGAGAAACAAGACTTAACCCCAAATATGGACTCTTTAGAGTAACAGGAGACTAGAAAGAATGGGTGTGGTACTTCAAAATTATTAAGTCTTTGTTTTAGTTAACAGCTTTCAAGACACTTGCATACTTTCCCCCTTCAGAGTATCACATCTGTCTACAAAACCCGATTTCTAGAACTGATAAATTAGGTGGTGATAATTTGCTTTGAAAACTTCCCACAGGTTTCGAATTAAGTGTGCAATTAAATTGGAATTTGATTACTGAAGTTTGATTATTCTTTGTCCTAAGAGATTGTTTTATCAAATTTATTCACTGAAGGGATTTGATTTTTTTCTGGTAATGTTCTTGACAGGTATGAATTCAGCTTTTTGTTTTTTTTTTTTGGAATACTCCCAGTAAAGGGAAGCCCAGTCTCAGAAGTTGAGCTATTCAAAAGCAGACTGTCCAACCCTGGGGCAGATTTTCCTCACAGAGAACTGAAATCTGCTTCCCTGTAACTGACACCCTCCTGCTTCTATTTCTGTCCCATCCAGCCAACCAGGATCAAGTCTAATCCTAACCCACACCAGCGTTTCTGAAACATCAGAGGACAGATACCACATTCCTTCTACGTCCTATTTTTCCTAGTAAACATCTCCAGAGTAACTATGTACAATTCGGTGGAAAGTACTTGGTCCCTGGAGTCCGAGTTCAGGAGATTCCTGGTTGTATATTATTAGAAAACCTCTGTAAGCCTCATCTAAGTTTCCTCATCTGTGAAACGGAACATCCCAGCCTTACGAGGGTGTTTTGGAAAAGAAATGGGTGGGCATGGTGGATACCCTAGACAGTGCTGGACCCAGTGAAGAAAATCAACAGTGCTAATAACTCTGCCCTCTCAGCTTATTCTTGTTTGCTCTTCTTTTTTTTCTTTATTCCCTTTATTTGTTAAACATTTTTTATTTTTGTCGAAGTGTAGTTGATTTACAATGTTATGTTAGTTTCAAGTGTGTACAGCAAAGTGATTCAGTTATACATAAATATTCTTATTCAGATTCTTTTGCATTATAGGTTATTACAAGATATTGAATATAGTTCCCTGTGCTATACAATAGGACCTTATTGTTTATCTATTTTATGTTTAGTAGTGTGTACATGTTAAAACTAAACTCCTAATTTACCCCTCCCTCTTACTTCTTTCCCCTTTGGAAAGAAAAATATAGTTTCTTTTCTATGTCTGTGAGTCTATTTCCAGTTTGTAAATAAGTTCATTTGTATCACTCGTTTTTAGATTCCACATATAAGTGACATCATAAAGTATTTGCCTTTCTCTTTCTGACTTACTTCACTCAATATGATAATCTCTAGGTCCATCCATGTTGCTGCAAATGGCATTATTTCATTCTTTTTTATGGCTGAGTAATACCTCAGTGTGTGTGTGCGCGCGCGCACGCGTGCATACCATATCTTCTTGATCCAGTCATCTGTCGATGGACCCTTAGGTTGCTTACATGTCTTGGCTATTGTAAATAGTGCTGCTGTGAACATTGGGGTGCAGGTGTCATTTTGAAGTAGGGTTCCTTCTGGATATAAGCCCAGGAGCGAGATTTCTGAGTCATATGGTAAGTCTATTCCTAGTCTTTTGAGGAATCTCTGTACTGTTTCCCACAGTGCTGCACCAAACTGCATTCCCACCAACAGTGTAAGAGGGTTCCCTTTTCTCCACAGCCTCCCCAGCATTTATTATTTGTAGACTTTTTAATGATGGTCATTCTGACTGGTGTGAGGTGATACTTCATTGTAGTTTGTGTATCCTTCTTAAAATGACGAGCTCAAAAATAAATGAAGCAATCCAGATATTGTGGAACTGGTTCAGAGTCCCAGAGATTGTATTCCTAAGAATATCACCTCAAGGCTTCAAGAACCTCAAGTTCCCACAGGATTTTACTCAGTCAAAAGCCCACAAATTCTATTTATATAAAAAACAAAGCAAGTCTCTCTTTCCCAGCTGTATCATTATTTCTTTCTGATTTTTTTCAGTGAAATACTGTACACTTAGCCACTGAAATTCCATCTTATGAGTTCTAGCCCATCCTTTTTGGAGATGGAATTATTTTACCTAACCGATTAGTTTTACTTCCTTTTATTTACCTTTTATTGTCAACCTCCTACCTTTGTCTAATCTGCACATTTCTGTCATGCGGAACTTGGGTTAGCCCACACATTGTCTGAGATGCATGTTTCACAGAATAGACTACACCAGACTTACAAGCAGCACAGCTGCCTGATCAGAGACTTCCCTCCTCTGCCCCATCTGTTTTTCCTTTACTGAAAGGACTGCTGAGAAAGGTCCTCACCAGCAGTGCAACAGGTATGCAGATGATTTATGGGCTGAAGGCTAAGACATGAGGTTTCTGCCCAGGAAAAGGTGAAAATAAGGATTAGTTATACTATGGCTTCATCACTGGAAACTGACCAAATGCTGCTCTGGGAGGTCACAGTGCCACCAGCTCCAACAGCTGGACAAACTGTACTAGGCAATGTAGTAAGGAACACGGGCTTTCAACCCAGACTTCCTGGGTTCAATTCTGACATCATGATTTGCTTGCCTCATTATCCTGAGCAAGTTACTTCATTTCTCTGTGCATCGGTTTCCTATTTGGTAAAATTATACTAAAAAGTTATTACTTTTTGCTTTGATAGCAAAGCAATAACCAAGCATTAATGGAAAGGAAGAAAAAAGGAATAGAGAGGGAAATAAAAGAGGGAACATGGGAGCGAGAGAGGAGAATCAGAGGAAGTCAAGGTGAAGGTCTAGTCTGAGTCTTGCTTTTTAAATCATTTACTCCTACCCACACCTCAAATAGGTTTTACTTTCCTGGCTTGAGAAATTAAGCCAGGTCAAATGAGAATTTTGTATGGTGGCCAACGGAGTCCAGGTCCTCTTTTCATTTCCAAAGTGGAGAAAGAATTTAAACTTGTCAGATGACTGAGTTACAGGCAGTAGAAAGTAATGTGAAGAATTCTTAAAGTATTAAATAAGTAAAATCTGACCATGTTTTAAATAAGTAAAAATATGACCATGTTCTGATTACACTGTATTCTTACACTTTCTTCAGTCATTTATGTATGAATTTTCATTAACCCGTCATTCTTATTAATGGACTATTACAAATTCTTTACTGAGTTTTCTTGACATGATTTTTCCTTCAAATGAAGTACAGTTTATTTACAACGCTGTGTTTGTTTCAAGTGTACAGTAAAGTGATTCACTTATACATATATATTCTTTATCAGATTCTTTTCCCTTATAGGCTATTACAAGATATTGAATACAGTTCCCTGTGCTATATAGTAGGTCCCTGTTATTTATCTATTGTATGCATAGTAGTGTGTATCTGCTAACTCCCAAACTCCTAATTTATCCCTCCCCTCCCTTTCCCCTAGGTAACCATAAGTTTGTTTTCTATGTCTGTGAGTCTGTTTCTGTTTTGTAAATTAAATTCATTTGTATCATTCTTTTAGATACCACGTATAAGTGACATCATATGGTATTTGACTGACTTCACCTAGTATGAGACTCTCTAGGTCCATCCACTGACACAGTTTCTAAGTTTCAAGTCTCTGTGGGTCACACTTTCCATTCCAGTGTGTGTGCATCTCATGTGAGCAGGTGAATCATGGAGACACCAAAGCTCACAGCTGGTGCCCCAAGCCTGACCTCGGGGGGGCTCCCTCGCCCCTGGGTGAGGTCTGGCTCTCTTGACTCTGGGTCCAGCACTGGCCCAACCTCCCTGTCCTACTTCCACTCATAAAATGCTCTCTCCTGTCACATTAAAGTACGTCCCATGGAAAGGAGGCGTGGGAAAGGATGAGAAAAAGCAATGAAGTATGAGTGAAGGGCTGGGGTGAGGGAATTAACAGTAATTTTCACATTCTGCTCCCCTTTACATACAATCAGCCCTGGGAAGTTGTCGAGGCTAACAGAATAGAAATGCACTCTTAGATGTACATATGTAAGAATATAGTTATAGATATATATACATATGCAACAATATATATTGCTAAAAATGGATGAATACTTCATACTGACCTTAGGGGGTTTAAACGGATAGTCTGGTGAAAAGGTAATGTCAAGAAAGAACACCCCTCCTTCATAGACAGATCCTGGGGGTCCCAATATGGTTGACCTCCATTCATAAATGTTGTCTCCTTTGGGTCCAGCACTGAAATAAGACATACAAATGAAATGTGCTTAGAGAGTATATAAAGCTTGGAATTAAAAAAAAATCTATTTATGGTAACAATAAATTGAGCAATTCCATAAATACACACCCAAGTTAGTAGGTTAATTCCATATGATGATTCACTTGTTGAAATGATCAGTATTCTCTGAATGAAACATGTTGTTATAACTGAATAAAACAGAACCAAGAAGATTCCATTTTGCCGTTTATGACCCTAAACCCATGAAACAAAAGATTCCAAGGACCACAGAGCAGAGGTAGGAGCACACGTATTTAATAAAGCATAAAATTATTTCTGAAGTCCTGAAAAGGGTGATATAGTCATAGGGTCAGAGAGATAAATTTTCAAATTCAGAAGGAACACTAGAGGGAAAAAAATCCTTCTGGTAACTAAGAACACAAATGAGGTTCATGGGAATCAGTAAATTCTTATCATTTACAAGATTCAGCTCAAGTATCAAATTCCATCTGAACCTTCTTTTTCTCTCTCCACCCAAAGATTACCTGCCAATGCCCCCACCCTCCAAACATCACACCCAGTGTGACTGTAGAAGATAATGTGCATCATTTTGTTTTATATCTGGTTTTGTAATTGTTTACTTTTTTCACTCCTCCCTAGAATTGAAGTTCTTTGAGGAATAGATTTTGCCTTGTCCTTAGTGACTCAAAGGACATGTTTGTTGGATGATGATGACGATGGATTAATAGCAAATCAAGAGAAACCACAAGGCTACCAGCAGCAAATATATGTCCCTCAGCTGCAGAGAAACTCACGGAGGAAAATAAGGTCCACACAAGTCAACTGAACTGTGTTAATTCTCTCACATTCATAGGAGGCAAAGTGAGATTATAATTTAGCTCTCCTATATTCTTCCTGGCACATCAAGCTAATCCTACACTGAACAGCCAGAAATTCCCCTCACATCCCGTAGCAAAGTGGGCAATCCCATTAAAGTGCTTGGGAAGATTTTACTGCCAACAGAGATTTGTTCTTTCTTCATTTGACATTGGTTCATATCTACCAAAAATTCATTACATATCTACAAAAAATTCAAGAATTCATACAACTCAACATCAATAAAAACATATAACCTGTTAAAAAACTGGCAGAGGACCTGAATAGGCATTTTTCCAAAGAAGATATACAGATGGTTAACAGGCACATGAAAACATATTCAGCATCATTAATGATGAAATGCAAATCAAAACCACAAGTTACCACCTCACACCTGTCTGAATGGCTATCATCAAAAAGACAAGTAACAAGTGTTCGTGAGAATGTGAAAAAAAAGGGAACCTTTGTGCACTGTTGGTGGTACTGTAAATTGGTGCATCTACTATTGAAAACAGTATGGAGACTCCTAAAAAAACTAAAAATAGAACTACTATATGATCCAGTAATTCCATTTCTGGGTATTTATCTGAAGAAAATGTAAACACTAATTTGAAAAGATATGCAACCCCATGGTTCACTGCAGCATTAGTTACAATAGCCAAGATATGAAAGCAACCTAAGTGCTCAATAGATGAATGGATAAAGAAGATGTGGTGCGCGCACACACACACACACACACACACAGGAATATTATTGAGCCATAAAAAAGAATGAAATCTTGCAATTTGGGATAAAATGAATGGACCTTGTGGGTTTTATGCCAAGTGAAATAAGTTAGAGAAAGACAAATACCATATGATTTCACTTATATGTAGAATCTAAAAGACAAAACAAATGAACAAATTCACCTAAACAAAAACACAGTTATAGATACAGAGAACAAACAGGTGGTTGTCAGAGGGGAGAGGGATGCGGGGAAGGGAGAAACAGTGAGAGAGATTAAAAGGTACAAACTTCCAGTTACAAAATAAATGAGTCACAGGTATGAAATGTACAGTGTGGGAATACAATCAATAATTATGTAGTATTTTTGTATGGTGACAGATTAAAAAAATTAGAAAACCAAAAAAAGCATGCATTTTAAACAAGTTGTGATATTCTGGGAATGCAAGGATAGTTTAATAATAGAAAATTATTAATGTAATTTACCTGATACATTAAAGTAGAAAAACTGATAATCTCATTAGGTGCAGAAAAAGCACTCAACAGGTTTTAATAGCAGCCATTCATGATGAAAACCAGCAAAATAAGAATAGTAGGAAACTTCTTCTTTACTGTACTAGAGGTTACATTCATCAAGGTATGAAACACACAAGGCAAAAACAAAAGGTTTATGGACTGGGATGGAAGAAATAAAACTGTTAGCATCTGCAGCATTTATGTACACAGAAAAACTCCCCAAATCTACATGGAATGTATCAAATTTAATAAAAGTTTAGTGGGGAGAGGTATAGCTCAGGGGTAGAGTGTGTGCTTAGCTTGCAAGAGGTCCTGGGTTTAATCCTCAGTACTGCCACTGAAATAAATATATAAACCTAATTACCTACCCCCTCAAAAAATTTAAAAAAAAAGTTTAGTAAAGCAGCTGGATATAAGATCAATAGGCAAAAATCAACTTCATTTCAGTACACCGACAAAATTAGCAAATGTATTTTAAAATACCTTTTACAATAATATTAAAAATATTAAGGAACCTATGAATACATTTCATGAAAAGTATATAAGATTTTTATGGAGAAAATTATAAGATATATTGAAATATACTCAAGAAAGTTAAATAAATGAAGACACCAAGTTTATAGTTAGGGAGAGCTAATATCCTGGGGATGTCATTTTTCCCCAAACTGATACAATGCAATTCCAATAAACCCAACAATTTTTAAAAAAATTGAAACTTGACAAGTTGATTCCAAAATGTATTTGGGAGCTCAAAGAAGCTCCTCAAACTCTGCTACACATGTATGAAAATCTGATATATGTCAGAACACATGGGGCTAAGAAAATAGTTTTCTATTTGGACAGTAGAGTCATTGAATTTCTACTTCCATAAATATATAAATCTGTTGTAGATGGATTAAGCACCTAAACTCAAAAGTCAAAAGTTTTAGAGTCTGACTAAAGAGAGTGACAAGGCAAGCCATAAACTGAGAAAAGATACTTGGATCCTATAAAATTGACAAAATTTCAGTCTGGAATACACAAATTTCTATAAATCAATACAAAAAACACTAATAATCCATTAGAAAAAACACAAATAAGCATTTCCAGAAGGAGGAAACATGAAGGGCAATAATCATATGAAAAATGCTCAGTCTCATTAAATCAGGGAAATAAAACTTGAGATTACAATTTAATATTATTCTACAAAATATACAGGCAAAAATAAAGGACTGCCAAAAATCAAGCACTGATGACAATGTGGAAAAACAAGAACGCCTATCCTTGCTGATGAGTGTGTCAATCACGCTGATGAGAATGTGGACTTCCCTAGTTAAGGTGACTATATATTCTCCTATATTACAACATGGGAACTGCATTCCTAGGTACAGACCACAGAAGAAATTTTACACGTGTACCAGAAGACATGTATAAGAATGTTCATGGAAGGACTATTTCTAACAGCAAAACTGGAAACAACACAAATGTCCATCAACAGAAAAATGGATGAATTCACCCAAAGGAGTACTACACAGCAGTGAAAAGATATAGACTAACATTGATCAATTAAACTAAAAAATCTTAAAAATCTTATATGAAAAATCAGGTCTAAAAGGAATGTGTTATGGTATGATACTATTTCTACAAAGTTTAAAAATAAACAAGAAAATAAACTGTTGAGGGATATATACAAAAAGTTCAAAAGAGTATTTTCCTGGGTAGCATCAGAGGGTGGAGAAGTAGAACACAGGAACGTCCATGCTTCTGGTGAGGCTCTACTTCTTGGGATGTAGGGCGGGTCCAGGAGTCACCTGTTTTACTATTAAGTTTCATAACTTACTTATATGTTAGAGATCTTCTCATACATGTATCAAATTTTCATATTAAGATAAAGTATGCCCAAAAGTGTATAAAAATGCTAAGCGAGAACAGCAAGTTGCAGCATATGTACAGTGTGACCCTACTGTATCCACTAGAAAGATCAAACCCTATTGTATATCATTTATGGATATACGTATCAAAGTCTTTTAAGACATGAACTGGAAAAACAGACCTAAATTCATGATGGCAGCTGTGCCAGGAACAAGGCAGAGCTGGAGAGGGTGATGGGGAGAAAATAAATATGAAGATGGCAGGTGAAGGAGAGTTCAATGAAACTTCTAGGGGTTGATTTCTCTTATTTAAAAATGATGTAGTAAAATGCAAAACAAAACCACAGTGAGCCAAATTTATTGCCAAGTACTGAAATACATTGAGAAGCAGTGGTCAAGGGACTGGGGTCCAGGATTCCCACCCCAAGTGCCCATGAACCTACCTCCCCTGAAGCAGACAGGGAGGTACAGACAACATTCAGGCCAGATGACAGCAGAACTTGGCCAACAGCACCTGGCTGCCAGACAAGCTCACTCATTCAGATGAATAATACACATGGTTACGCCCTGAGCTATAATTAGACCGAGTACAAATAGATAAGTTTATCAGAAGGAAGAGCTTAAAGGTAGACTAAATTATAGGTTTGCAGTTACAACATTACTTCAAGGTAGATGAAGAAGTTTAGTTGGAAAAATACACACAGGAGAGTACACAGCTATGAAACAGGGTGCAGAGATGCACTTCCCAAATACAGATATAATATATGAGTCACTCTGAGAAATTTTAAGATGACCTTCCAAGAACGGTAATCACAGTTAGTTATCTAATTTAGGCTAATTAAGGAGTCGCCAAATAGTGCCAGCAAAGAAGGAGCTCAGAAGTAGAAGGCAGGAGATACTTCACCAACTCGGCAGTGTCTGTAGATAACTTACATTCAATTTGTGCCCATTCCAAGTTTTATCTGGCTTGCAGTCAGAACTCCAAATTTTATTGGGCCTTTGAAGTCAGTAAGCTGTCTAGGCACATATTAACAGTGGAATAAGTAACGCAGTTA